TTTAAACAAATAGATTCGTATTTCAAAAAGTTATGAACATTGATGCAAAGAAAAAAATTGCGGAAATCATTATTTTGGTTTTTGGAAGTTATATCCTTCCAAAGTTGCACCTATAACGAATTTTGAAAAAAAAAATTTACGTATTTTAATACGAATTTAGAATGATGGTAAAATCAGCGGTATATTTCTGTTTTACCTAGCACCATTTTTTAATTTGTTTGATGTTGTATGTAGACATGTAGTTAAGCATGCTAAAAACGATGGTGAAGTCAGAATTTGACAGTCGGACTTAGTTCTAAAGTTTTAGCTATTTGAAATCCAAGATATTCAAGACCCATCCAAGATAGTTTAAAGTTTTACATAATAAGTCGAGGGATGTTTTCGATTTTAATTACCTAGGTATATGAAAATACTACAAATTTAAAATGTCTGTAAAAAATAACTGTGTTCATATATTTTTTAGATTTGTTGGTTACAGTATGAACTATTTATGAGAACCTTTGTTTTAAATTCGCAATCCTTAGCTATAAAAACTGAACATTTTATAATTTATTAATTACAATGTTTGATAATTTTCGAGATTTTGATAAATTTTGTCAAAATTCGATCTTTAAATGATTATAAAAAAAAACTGTGCCTATATATTTTTAATATTTTTCAACTGATATTGTAACAATATATCAGGAGCCTTGTATTAAATTTTTACACTTTTTGGCCCAACAAAATATAACTTTATAGATATTTATTGAAAAAAAAATTGAAAGCTGTAAATGTCCGTAAACAGCTCTAAAAGAGTCAAAATATTTTCAAAATTGTGTGGTGTATAGGAAATGCTAATATAAACATTCTTAACATTTTTATATAAATATTCAGTGAAATTTTCATGTACCTACAGTTATTCGTTTTTGAATAACAACAAAATAAGGAAATCGCTACATGAGAAATTGAGTGAATAGCCAATGTTGTAAAAATTTGAATTTCAAACGCTCATAAAAATTGAATTTGACTGTCCGGTAGAGATTTTTTATTGATAAAGGTAGACAAACTTATGAGTAATCTTGTATTACATTTTAAAATCTTAGATTTAAAAAGAAAAATTTTTACGAATTCTTAACTCAAAATAATTTGGTAATTTTCGTGATTTTTAGATATTTTGTCAATTTTTGAACTTTAAATGCTTATAAAAAAAAACTGTGACTAACGATTTTTAATATTTTTCATCTGCCTTTGAAACAATATACTAGGAGCCTACTATTAAATTGTCAAGTTTTTTTAACCAACAAATACAATTTTATTGATATTTCTAGAAAAAAAAACAAAAAAAAAATGAAAAATGAAAATGTCCCTAAACAGTTCAAAATAAATCAAAATATTTTGAAAATGTTATCGTGTATAGAAAATGCAAATATAAACAACCAGTGAACATTTCATGTATCTACGGTCATTTGTTTTGCGTAAAAATTCCCGTTTTTCCTTAATTTTTCTTTTGTTTTTCTTGGCGCTTTTGAAAAGTACTGGGAATTTTAAATTTTGACCTCCCCAATGCAACAACGATATTCACTTTCCAATCGAACAAGATACTGAAGTCGAAAATCGAAGCATTATTTCGACTACTTATCGTGTACACAGACACAAAAAAAATAAAAATAAAAAATAAAAAAACACACATCATTGTAAAAGTAAAATCAATACATTCATCGTTCCACTCAGAATCTAAAATATCTGCTAATGTAAATATAATATATACTTTGTAGTTTGTTCTAATATTGGTAATGCAATATTTATATATCTATAGGTTAACAAAATTAAAAATCAGAAGTCAGAACTACTTATTTTAACATGATTTTGTTTGAATGCAAATTATATTTATTTTAAATTTGTGAACTTCTCAAACTATTTGTTATATCCCTCTAAACATTTAGTAAAAAAAATTTGGATATCTGATTTCATTTTGACTTGCGTCATTATTTCGGCTACATTTCAATATCCAGAATATTGTGTATTGTACTATAATTTTACTGTGGTAAGTGCAGGTATGCGCGCCATTATATCATAGGTATTTCCTTGTATTGGTGATCGTCGTTATCGTCGCGACGTCGGCCTATTTCTGTATAACAAATAATTACAATTACAGCCGGCGGTCAAAAGTCGCTAGTCGCGACGGACACCTATATATTACGATAACATAACAATGTATAGAACAAAAATTTTGTATGTTATTTTGTATTTAATTTAACCCAGGCAGCTAAGTCCATTGAGATTAGGATTTACAATATATTATACAATAAAATATTATAAATCTTGTAAAATAAAAATTAGTTTTACAATTTATTTATTCATTTTAACGAGATAATGTAGTCATCAGGGCGTATATACAAGAGGGGTGATGTGGGGGTCAGACATAGCCGTCCCAAGGGGGGGGGGCAAATGGGGCAAGTGCCCTAGGGCGTCTAAACTAAAGTATTATGAATTTAGGGGGCGTACTAAAAATGAATGATAAAAAGAAAAATTTGGTGTTTTTATTTTAGGTATTTTTTTTCTGTTTCTACTGTAATATGAATATCAAAGATGAGTACCTATCAAATTGTATACTTTAAAATTATGTAAATAATGTGTTAAATCTTAATGCGACATAACTTCAATAATATATTCAGTATTCATAAAAACAAATAAAAATATTAATACTTATAACTTATAAGTTATAAGATTACAATAGTAATTTATTTACATAAAATATATTTTAAATATGTATACACATCAATAAAATAGTTAAGTAATATACTTATAAACTAAACTAATTCATATCTTTCCAGGTAGTACTAAATAATATCTTCACTTGAAAAAGATTTTTTTTCAGGTTTTGTAATCGGCAAATTGAAGAAAATCGCAGTTTTTTAAGAAACTAAAGAAAAAAATTATCAACAAAGCGAGGTTCTTAATTGTTGTGTTTAATAATCCTCCTTTAATTTGCCTGGTAAAATATGGAAAAATGTCATCATTATTTTATATGTACTTATAGAATAATATTTCAATAATACATCAAATATCTATACTGACAGTGAAATTGTATTCATACATAAAAACATTAGAATAATGTGAATTTGATATTTGTTATCAAATAAGAAAATAGTAAAATATTAGTTAGGCTGGGGCCTGGGGCCCCTGCAGTCTATGGGCCTCAGTGATCAACAACCCCCACCCTCGGGTAGTTGTGCTACTGCTGTAATTATTATACGTAAAGATATATGTATATTATGTTATAAGTTATAACCCACTCATTATAAATTTCACCCACTTCTTAAATTAAATCAAGTTAGTGTATTTTAGTATCTGAATTCTGTATATTATATTATTATATTCACTTATAATCACTTATACAATTTACAATGTTGACTGTTATACACGCCACAAGCAGAAACGCAGAACGTATGATTTATAATAAAATCTACTAATTTGTGAAAATAGTTTTAAATATTTACTTTCTGTAATGTACGAATGTACCCAGAATAATGAAATCAGTGTCAACTTCGAAAAAATTATAGAAACAAAATAAATATGATTAAAATAATAATATTAAAAAATAAGTAGGAACCGTTAATTAATAAGTATTAAACATATTTAATGTACGTGGTTAATTATAATCCAAAAATGTGAAGTCGAGATTATTTTGTGTGAGCGAGAGGGGCGTCAAATATTGGTGCCCTAGGGCGTTATTGGTGGTTAGAGCGGCACTGGGGTCAGATCCTCCCCCCGGCCACCATAGGCCATTTGTTTAAGTTTTAGAAAAGTGTTCTTACTTCCTTAGTGTTAGCGCGTTACAAGGAAACGTAAAAACAAATTAAATACATTGTGTACTACAATTGTTCAATTCAGGGGCGTCATTTAAATTTTTTGAAAGGTATTCCAACTAGGTAGGTAGGCCAAAATAATGTCTGCAGAACAATATAATATTATATATTGTACTATAGTTTTTACAAAAAAAATTTTAATATGTTCTAATTTATTGAGAAAAATGACCACATTATATTATTATTGTATAATTCAATAGTTTAAATAATATAAAAGTACAAATTATACTTGGAGGTACTTGATGTGTATGATAATAAGAGGTTAAATAAAATAATAATAAGGTAAGACTGTACGAGCGAAGCGATACAATTTGTTTTTAATGATAAAGTATTTACCACTGTAACCTACCTTTACGTGAAAGCCTTAATTAGGTAGTATATATTCACGAATGTTTTAGCAATACAATGTATAATATAGGTACACACCTACTCGGACTTTTAAGTTGTATTTTTATTTTTGCTCTTGAAATTTTTATTGTATTACAATTTTATTAACTTGTTGGATCGTATTTCGTAAATTTGTTTTCATAGATCGAAGTAGGTACCTACTTATTATTATTTTGATATTTGTCATCAAATACGGAAATATGCTATTATTAGTTGTGCCGGGGCCCCAGAGATCGACACCTGGTAGTTGTGCCACTGCATGCATGTAGTCGTGTGTTTTGGGTTGAGGGGGGGGGGAGGAGGGTTATTGTGAATTGTGCTTTCCTATAAATTCGGTGCGTTGATCGTTAGCGGTCAACAAAGATACACGTCTGTACTCTTGAGTGTCTCGTGCAGCCGAAATTATATTACGATAGTAATTCATTAATATCGGTTTTCGAATCACCCGTGTGGCCGTGTTTTCAACTTACCAATCCTTTTTACTTATTAAAATATATATATATTATATTTATATATTTTACAGGTAATTACCACGGGGATTGGTGATACACTACTGGTAATTATTTAACATAATATAATATACAAATTAATTATTTATTTTATTTAAACATTTTTTTCCAGCAATACTGCAATAGGTGCTAATATTTATTTACTTTCACACATTTAAATTTTATATATTTTTACCACTAAGCCAATACATTTTTGCATATTATTATTTTATATATATATCCTTATTTTTTTGTACTCTTGTGTTTAAGCACTAAAATGAAAAAAGTAAATCTTCAAAAACTGATTGCCGTTTTGAAAGAAAAGGGATGCACTCCTTGTCAGTGGAACAATGTAAAGTGTGGTGATGATGTCATCATTGAGTCCTGCAAGGCATGTTTTAAACAGAATACATGTTTGACAAATCGAAAAATAATCAGACGAGTAAGTTAACATCACTTAATAAGTAACTTAGTGGGTATTGTATATTTATTTTATTTAATTTTTTGAATACACGGGCTGGTATTATTTATTATTTTATTATTACAATTATTAGAGAAAGATAGGTAGGTACATGAAGAAGTTAAAGTGAAATATGACAAAGTATATATAGTTCTAAATGTGCTTATATAATTAATATTATAAGCACATTGAGCATATTTAAATGCTTCACTGTTGGGTTTCATACAGGTGGGAACTGGGAACTACATTTCGGAAAGCATATCTCAAAATAAATTATATTTGATATTTGCTTTTTTATTTTTACTATTTATACAAATTATAGCTTAATAACTCCAAAATTAAATTACAGATAAAATTAAATATTATTATGTTAGGTAGGTAGGTAGGTAACTGTTTAAAAGTATAACTAACATAAGTCATAAATCATAATAATAAAAATCAAAGACATTTTCCCAACCATATTTTTTAAAAATATGAATTTGAATATGACATTTTCTTTGTTTTAAGACAATAATTTTTATATATAATAATAATACATTGTGGATATATAATTTTCGTCAATATCACTTGAAACAATAAAAAGTTATAAATTATAATAGTGATGGAGTGTGTCACTTGGGATATCTTTATATAAGTAGCCGGGAAAGTCCTCGCGGTATTTCGTCTAATTTTATATTTTAGTTTCGGCAAATTTTCCATGTTTCGTGTGGGTAAGAGAGTGAATACTGAATAGTAATATAGTATTCTCAATTCTGTACGCTGACGTAGGGACGTCCTCATATTGTATTGGCGAAAATATAAAAGTCGAACTAAGTTACTCTTTTAATGCTTTTATTATTTATTGTGTTATTTATAAGTCAATTGGCACATAAAAACCTAATCAGGTCATCAGGAGTGTATTTAGGCACAGGCCCTATAGGTCCGGGCGTGCGCGGCGAATTTTAACTATTTTTTTTTACCAAATTACAAAAAAATGTTTCATATTTTTATAAAATCAAACTTATTTAATTTTTGGTACGCTCAAAATTAAACAGCTATCTACTATAATACTATATTAATATCATACACATACGCAACACAATACGTGCACATAGATAACAAAACATACGCGCATTCATTGCGGGTTCGATTTCTCATACCAACTATGAATTCAAATAAAGTAATATAGACAGACGGACAGTATAGTTGATAGTTAGATAATGACGGGGAAATACCCGCTTATCGTTATAGAGCTGCCCGTCTTTTATTCCAATTCTTCTAAAAATAATATTCAATTTTATATAAACTGTAAACTAAACTGCGGCATCTGGCCGTATAGGAAGGACTGGGGGGGGGGGTGAATTGGAAGCGCCTATAGGCGGAAAAACCTTAAATACGCCACTGTACCTAATATAGGTATTTCCAGATATTTTGAGCCCTGTCGTCATAATTTTACACGAGATGAATAATATTCAATGTACCTAATATATTAATTTAGAGCGCGATTTGTATGCACTAAAAAGTATCAAAATATTGATGTATGCAATCAAAACATCTTATAAATATGTAAGAAAATTTTATTTATGAACATCACAAATGTGTACTATTGTCTATTTAGTATTGATACCTATTTGAATATTATAAATTAGTAATATACTTTAGCAGGAGCGATTACGATTAAACATAAATATTTACGCTGTAATCGATTAGGTTGTTATCTTATATTTATTTAAATTACTATTTAGTGCCTACAAAATGTATTTTAGATTCTTCCACTTGACCAATTAATATTATATTATTATACCTTTTAAAAAAAATATTTGACTCAATATGCAATACATTTTGAATTACGTATAAATTTTTATTTAATTATATATATACATATATATTTGGTAAGTACCATTAAATATGCAGAAATATGAAAAAAAACATTTCGCCATTAATTTCAAACTGTTATATGATTCGTAAAGATTACCTACTGACAAAAAAACAAAAATGTGAAAATTAAAGAATATTCAATTGCACAGAAATCCCACGCTCTGTAATTTGTAAATATATTTACAAATTCCACTACTTTGCTCTTAAAAGGATATTAGTGCACCCTATGTTTTCTTTCTCTGACTCACGCGCTACACAGACCCAACTAAATCACGCAAAATCGTTTTTTTCTAGTTAAGACTTTAAGATTGCGTCATTTGAACTTTTGCAAAACTTTAATATCTAACGCACGTGAAAAATATATATGTATAAAAAAATTAATCAACTAGTCAAAAGTCACTAATATGTGGCTACTTTAATCATACCATTTATGTCATGACATACTACCTACTCTCATCATATAAACGTATTGTGCTAATTTATATAAATTAAATACAATAGTACTCCATAGGCCATAGCTGCATGCGTTGCCTCCGTATTACAAAAACATAACAGAAAATTATCTAGGACATATCATAATAGGCTTATTGTTGTATTTTAATTTTAAAGCGAGTGATGAGTATTTTAAATTTTAGATTCTGAGCGGAGGGATGAATGTATTGGTTTTACAATGATGTGTGTTTTTAATTTTTTTTTGTGTCTGTCATCACGTTTTGGGACAGTAAAAGTGCTTGGAATTTCTTCAATAGTACCTTTTCTGATAGGAAAGTGAATCTAGTTGGTACCTACTTTGGGGGGTCAAAAGTAAACATTTTCCAGTAGTTTTCAAAAGTACCATGAAAAACAAATGGAAAATTAAGGAAAAAACGGGAATTTTGATTTTGTAAATACATGGAATTTTGACTGAATGTGTTATATGAGCAGTTTCTATACACCTTACCGTTTTCAAAATATTTTGACTTATTTTGAGTTGTTTACAGACATTTCCAATTTCCAATCTTTTTAGTTTTTTTTTTTCTATATATATCAATGAAATTGTATTTATTGGTTAAAAATTCTTGAAAATTTAATATTAGGCTCCTAATATATTGTTTCAAAGGTAGATGAAAAATATTAAAAATCTGTAGTCACAATTTTTTTTTTCCAAGCATTTTAAGTTCGAATTTTAGGCATTTACCCATCGGAGTTGACCTAAAACTACAAAATTACTAAACAGAAATAATGTCTGGTTTGATTTGCTGTATCTAAACATTTTAAGGTTTACCTAGGTATTACAGTGATAAATCAATTTGTATTACTAACTGGCAACTGCTAGAATTTGGAAGTATTATCACGACAATGACATCGCATTTCACAATTCGATAGATGTGTTATTTACTATTTTAAATAGGTATTAGATTTAAATTTTAAATTTTTATTTTTATTATGTGTTAATTGTAATTTTTTTAGTATGAACACCTATTTTTGGGTAGTTTGAAGGGTAGATGGTCAAAAAATCTTAGCCTCATAAATCTTTTCACGTCTTATTATCTTTAATCGTGATTGAAACTGAGTAAAATATTATATTAGTACCTACTATAAGTCTATAAAACGACAAAATTGAACTTACAACTTCCAACTTGCAAATTAATGTGCACATTTTCTAGACATAATTCGATAAATAATAAAATGCACTATTCCTAACAAATAGCATAACTTTTGGTAGAACTGTGGTGGTGGCACCATGTCAACTATACCTTATATATTAAGAATAGTTTATATTTTATTTCAGATACTAGTAGACAGGAGGAATAATATATTGGAATTATACAATCAGTTTGAACCAGAAAAAAATACTTTCACTGACAAAGTGAGGGCAATACTGAATAAGCTACCGTTTGAAGTGAAGCGCGTAGACTCTGAAATTGTTATTGAAATTTGCAAGAGGTTGGGATTAAAATGGAATGCTACTAAATGGAAAGTAGAAGCATTAAAAAATCACAATAAAGTAACCTCAGCATTACGTTATATATTTAAACTGGACAGTAAAAAGGTAAAAACACCAATTGAAAAGGTAATGTTATATGAAAATATTGGGCAGGTGTCTGTTGGTGATGATTTTTTGTCAAGTTCTAGGTTAATGGAGACAAGTATAACAATAAATGAGATGCCTGAACATGAATCTTTATTGTTGGAAAAAAAACTCGAGGAGTCGATTGTTGATGAATTTATCACTCCTACAAAACGAAATGAAGCAATTGGCATTGTGGAATGTGTTAATGATCAACTATTAACACACAATTGCAACAAAGATATTAAAAGAAAAATATCACAGGTGGAAAATTCAATTAGAGATGAAAATACTCCTAAGAAAAAGGTAATGTGTGGTTCCAATGTAGAACAGTTATCTGTTGTTGATGAAACTTTGTACAATTTTAGGTTGATACAGAGAAATGAGGATATTATGGAAGTTGCACCTATCTATTCGTCTAGTGTAGAGAATATGTTGGACACTTCAAATGATACTGTATCGTTGGAACAAAGTCCTAAAGAGTCAAATTTTGTATTTGTGACACCTACTCAAAGAAATTTTACCGCAGGAACTCCTAGAAGAAAATTATTTCATGATAATGTAACAGGAAGTTCATTGTTTGAATGTAATAGTTCAATTGATTTACTTAGAAACACTGGTAAAACGAGAGACAAATTTATTAGTCCGATAAAGAGTCCGTTAAAACGTTTAAATGATAGACATTTTAATAAAAGCCCTGGGGAGCTTTTACCACGAGGTTCTAAGAATGTGTCTCCTTTAAACATTAAAGGAGAATATTATGAATGTAACTTCAAAGAAGGGGAGTTCATAATTCCAAAAGATGAATGGAATAATATATTTGAAGACGGAAAACTAAATACAAAAAGGTATACATTAAACATAAACTTGTTTCAATTTGCTTAACATATTTACATCTATATAGCTACTTTCACTATATTTAATTGGTTTGATTTATAATTCAATTAATTTGTCTTAAAAAGTTGAACATTTTATTAACAATAGTTAAATTAAATCATCACAAATATATTTTATATAGATATTGTTAGACTATATCTAATAAAAGTTATTACTAGTATATTACTAGTAATAAATACTCTAATAAGTATTAACATAAATTTAATAAATAATGTTGAACAAAAAAATATCTAAGTTTAGTAATCGATTTTAATCAATGATGCATTTTAACTAGTTAATAATTAAAAATAATCTAAATATGATATGGTACACAATTATAAATACCTGATAAAATATTATTCTTAAATACCTACTAAAAGAACAAAAATAATAATAATAATAAGCAAACTGTGTACAACAACAATAAAATAATACTAAATAATAGATTTTAATAATTAATATAATTTTTAATGCTAGAATTAAGAGGTTGTTACATTGACATTTATTGTCTCTGACTTACAAACGCATAACTTAGCAAATTGTACTGCTCAGCAGATCACGTTTGGCTCTGCTAGTTTAAAAATTAGAGTGAATTTACCCATCATAAAATTATATAAAGGTAAGATTATTATCTAGGGTTTTTGTTATATTTTAATTTTAAAGAGAGTATAATTATTTTAAGATGTACAAATAATTTACAATCTTAAAATATTCAAAGCTCGCTTTAAAATTAAAATATAACAAAAAGCTTATGAGATGTCTTAGATAATAATCTTACCTTTAAATTTTAAAAGAGGCTAATTCACTCTAATTTTTAAACTAACAGAGCTAAACGTGATCTGCTAAGTACAAAATGTTAGGCGCTTGTATGTCGGAGACAACAAATGTCGGTGTAACGTCCACTTAAGTATTTATAGTATAACTTCATAAAATATTATTAAAAAGGTATAATGATAAACTTAAATGTATTGTCTGCATGAATTACTTGTAATATTAGAGAATACAAACAACAATTGTACATCATTTAAGTAGATATGTATAAATATAATTTCTCAATAGTACTACTGAAAAATCTAACTAAAAAATTAGATTTTTATTCAAATGGTAAAATTGATTTTTATTTTAGTTAAATGTAAAATTATTAGCCTTTACTCAGCAACTATACCATTGTTTTATTCTTATATTTCAGGTATCCTGGTGTTATCAGGAAACATCTTCAAGAAGTGAATAACACTTGTATATTGTATATTAAAAAGCTGGAATACATTAAGACTGAAAAATCAATGAAGCTGAAAATTTATTGTAAACATGATAGCTGTAAGAGGTTCAAACTTTACATTTTACCTATTGGTGAAGAAGCAGTTGTTGAAGTTTACAGTACAAGTATAAACTTTAATCATAAACCAGATGCTCGATACACTACTCAAATTAGGGGAGTTGAACGCAAAATTATTGCAGAAAAAATTAAAGCGAAAAGTGCTTTTAAGTATAGACAGGAATGTGTATTATCAGTTTCACCTATTAAATTAATGGAATGTGGAAATTTGCAAAACATTAAATCTCCTTCGATGTTAAGGAAAACTAAATAGTGAACAAACAGTTTAAAAGGGGATTTCAACCGAAATGATCACTTTGATGTAGTTTTAATGGCCAAGAACATCCCTGTTGAATATGAAAGTTCCCGAAGAGCATACAAGAGCCATTCATTGTAACATGGGCAAGCCAACAGCAGTTGGCAATAGTTCAAAATTTATTTAAACAAGGTGTATTAACAACTATTCATGTGGATTCAACAGGATCAGTTGTTAGGCCACCTCAGAACTCAACAAAACTAACTATTTATTATTATGCTTGTGTAGTGCGTATAGGTGAAATTGAAACCGTATGTCCAATAACTGATATGGTCAGTGCAACGCATGATAGAGAAACTGTTACAGAATGGTTGAAATGTCTTAAAGATCTAATAATTGCAAAAGATCCAAGTATCTGGCCGCCTTTCAAAAATGTTGTAACTGATTTCAGTTGGGCTTTTATGCATGGTATTTCTAAAGCATGGAATGGTAAAGAAACAATATTTGAATATCTGGATATGTGTCATAGAATATTAACTGGAAGAGAAACATTGTCTTCTAGCACAGTAGTTATTACTTCTTGTACAAACCATTATGTTAAAAATATTCTGAACCATGTAAAACGGTATTATCCAGATGATGAAAAAACAGCGTTTTACATAGCCAGATGTGTTGGATTAGTGTTTTAAATGAACAATTATGAAGAAATCAAACATTGGTTTGAATTGCTGTCGACTATGATCTTGTCAGACAAGTCAACAGAAATGTGTAAAGCAGCAAGTATGGAAATGAAATCATACCTAAAAACAAACCATGGATTATTTGAGTATGAAATTGAAAAGTTTGATGACGATCAAAATTACTCTTGTGGTAAAATCACTGATACCTTGTATTATGCCGAACGAAAGAAATCTGCATTTTATCATGATTTTAAACAGATATTTGACAGTGTGAAAAAAATAGTAAGTATTTCCTCACAGAATCATAATCACCTAGATGTTAATAGTATGTATTCAGAAGAGTACTTGTTACATTTCCTTATTGAAAATGTGCCATACATACCTCTGTGGACAAAAGTTATGACTACTCTTGTTCATCTGGAAGAACGCCAGAGTAATGCATCAGTAGAAAGTTGGTTTAATTTAGTGAAAAATCATATTTTAGCAGGCAAAAGAAGAATGAAATGTGGTAGGTTCATTGAAAATATAACCCAATATGAAGCTCACTGCTTTAGAAGGTTGAATTACAAATACCTAGACGTATATGTGCCATAAAAAAAAAAGCTGATTGTGACGAGGACAACCTGCATTTAAATACTCCAGAAACTTGGAGGAAGAAAGGAAAACGTCCAGCATTCTTGAGAAACAATAATAAAATTTTAGGCAAAAGTTATGGTGAAAACCAACAAAATTGTTTGTCATTAAATATACAGTGCCACCGGGTGCTGTATACATTCAAAACGAGATGAGTTTAATAATGATCATCTCACTGTTTTCAGTCAAACAGATCAACCAATTGTGGCACAGTTTGGATTTGGTGAACAATTATTTGATAACCTCAGTGACATCAGTGATCATAATTGTGTATTAACAAGAGAAAATAGTACAAGTCCAAGAGTCATTGAGAATATAAATAAAACTGTTGTTAATACTTCACCCGTGGCTTCGACTACCCAAATTCCATCAGACACTTATGGGCACGCAGTTGTATGGGAATCGTCCACTGATAAGTCTCCAACAGGAAATTATAACTTTTACCGTAAAAACAAATTGGTGAAAGATCCAATGTATTACATGAAGTCTTATTGTGGAATTGACAAATATGTGGTATCGCAAATTTCTTTTGAAAACGAAGAGATAGAAATATCGTCTTTGGATTTTTTAAATTTAAACACTAAAGGCGATACTAGTATGCTTTGGTTACATAATAAAGAAATATGGTGTTTGTTTCAGATATTTTTGGAGAGAAATTCAAGGTCTTGGATCACTAAGAGGAGACAGCAGTTAGGCTGTGTGAGTCCAGATCAATCATCCTATATGTTCATCTTGGTAGAAGTGTTGAAAATTCTACAGCTGATAGACCTGAATGAATTGATTCATCAAGGTTATTAATACCTTTACTAGAAAAGGACCATGGGACTTTGATCTATGTAGATTTTATAAAAAAAAACAGTAAGTTATTTAAATTCTATAGAAAGCGTGCATAACAATATCGAGAAGAGAAATTACTGGAAGGATAGAGTTCTTAATGTTTTATGTGGTGTGCCTAAAATTTGGAAACCAAAGCAAAACATTGGTGATATCAAAGAATGGAAAGATATGTTTGTCCAAATACCATATCAAGATGATGGATTTAACTGCGGTGTATTTATGTTGTACTTTGCAAATCAATTAATGAGTAATAAAAGAATAATTAATGTTTTCGATCCAAACAATTATCGTTCTTACCTACAGGACTTGATACTATCAAGTTCAAAGTGTATGAAGAACATTGTTTATTTGTGGAAAGACGAAGGTAGTTTTTAAACAAAATTATAATTGTGAAATCGATAGTACAATGGTTCAATGTGGGTCTTGTACTAGATGGCTGCATATCTCATGTTTACCTGCAATTGAGCAAGAAGAATTTGAAAACCCAGATTGGGTTTGTGGACTGTGCTCAAATCAATGTCCAACTATCTAAAAATAAATTTCACAAACATAATTAATGTCTATGTTATAACA